GAAGGGAATAGTTTGGGTACAGTTCAGTCACAACAGATCTGAAGTGAAGGCAAGTAGCTTACAGAAACATTAGGGAAAAGGGAGGTAGGCTCTGTACCTTAAAGCATCATCCTAAGAACCGTCAGAAAAGAACAGTCCCAATATTAAGAGTTAAGAATTTAATTTGATGTGAAGAGGAAAAAAAAAGTCACAGTACTACAGACATAGATTTTACCCCATGTTAGCACTGACAGCTGCCTTCAGCTTAACTAATTTTCTTCAGGCGAAAGTTCTACATATTGCACATATTAAGTAGACAAGCTTTGGGAATGCTTTCAAAACATTATAGGTAAATGCTTCACTTATACAATTATATGAACAGAGTCACATATGCAGCTGCTAAAAGCCACCACTAGCACCCCAAAAAAACACCCACACAAACCAGACTATAGTTTGTACTTTAAATTATTAGAGGACTGATGAGGGTTGAAAATTACTATAGCTATCCTAAAAAGATGATGATGGTCAAATGGCATCTATAATTCAACTATCAGTTGGTTCCACATTGTTTTACTCATGTATTTTACCCTTACCATCTTATCTACAGTAATTGCACTTTGGATTTGTGACACATTTCTGTGTTTTATTACATATAATAAAAGTCAAACAGACTGTAATCATCTGATGATTAGAAAGAACAGCTGCAACCACCACTAAGATGAACAACTAGAGCCATTCCATACACAGGGAGAGCATGAGTTTGGCACACATTACTAATGTAAGAAAGATTTTCTTTTTTCTTTTCCTATTGCAGCCTCATGTTGTAATGCTCCAGTGTACAAACTACTCACAACATCAGATTGCCTGTTAAAGGCAATTGTAGCATCCATGTTCTGCCTGGAAGAATGCTAAATCTGTGTCTTCCTGTCACAGAGGATTTTATCCCAAAGCTGTTATCATTACCTGTTCTTGGAGACAGAAAGCAACAATTTTGGACAACATGCAACAATTGAGCAAAAATCGGTCCCTCTTGGTCAAGGAAAATTATGGCATCTCCTTGATGATGGGAGCTGTCAGGCACAGAAGTTTAATGGCCTCATGATTAAAACAGCGTTGAAGGGCTAGCATCATGAAAATAATGACCTGTCATATCAGCTATCATGTCAGCTGAAGTAAAGCCGCTTTTCTTCAACAGAAGGGGTGGACATACAAATGTAAACCCCCTATGATGCTGTTATAGCTAGAAAGTCCCCTATGAAAGGAAAATTCACTGCCATTTCTATTGTCTGAACAGTACTGCACACAACAGCCAGGAGATTGCATCCTTCTCCTTTGATGTTTGTTTGATTTGCTGGGGGATTTTTTTGTTTGTAACCTTTTTCTTTTCCAAGTCACAACTGAAATCAAACAAAGTGTACAGGGCTGAAATTCCTGCAATATTGCAGAGAATTATATATCCATACTACCAACCAAATAACCTAAATCTCTTCTGAGATACATGCATGGATCTAGTTTCCATGTAAATTGGAGTTTGTGTTCACTTTGGAAAGGACACAGTGGGATTCTTAACATTTTGCCCATAGAAATGATGCAGTACAGATGAAATAAAACTATTATAAAAAAATCATTAGCTGTATTTTAAGCAATGTAGAGATGAAGGGCAGAAATTTCAAGCACATCACAATTGTAAAAACAGAACAAAAATGATCCAGAGAAATAGGCACAATATCAGAAGCTTATTCTAAAAACCCTATAATTTAAACTTTGTTTCCAAAACACAGAGAACACAGCAATCATGCTTAAGACTGGTGAGAACTAGCACAACAGTTAGGACTATGCATGTTAATGCTGTTCCAGGTAAGGCTGGGTCAGGATGGCTGGTCATAAAGATAAAATTTGCTGTAATACAAATGCTCTACCTTAGTAAATACTGTAACTTGAATTGCAAGTAAAAACAGAGTGGAAAAAAAGCTATGCAGGATCAGTCTGATTCAGATTCAGGAAAGTATCTAAAGTGAAGACTAGACTGGTACCTTCAATGCATCTGTAAAATGTGATATTCATTCTAGATGAAAAGACCTCACAGAATAGCCTGAAATGTCACAACTGACTTTGGAGAAATGCAAGTGTGGAAGTCAGGTCTGCCAGATACAGGCAAAAACTTGCCATAGCTTCAGGATACACCTAGGACATTTCTTATTTACCCTATCATTGTTTTCCTGTTATAGAAATATATTAAGCAAAAGAGTCTTGTATAGTTGGATATGGTTTTCTTTTATTTTCTCCTGTGTGTGAGCAATATTTGAATTACTATGAGATTTAAAAGCTGCTAATTATCTCAGACTAATATACTCCAGCATATTCTCTCCTCAGCCCACTGAGCTGACACTACAGGGCGCTACAGCCTACAGCGACGATGGAGAAAGCTCTGGCATTGCACAGAACGTGCAGCTTAAGAAGCAGATAGACAAAGTGAAAACTGTGACAACAACCACTGCTGGTAACTCATGAGGTCCTCTCATACACTACAGAAGTGGGAGAAAGATATCCTCGTATGAACTGTACACTGTTGCACAGAAAGTCTGCAGTTTTTACCTAGTTTCAGTCATAGGTCAGGACTAAAGGATCAGCTCACTGTAAGGTATACAGTTACAGTACATTAAATTTCATGGCATATTCTGTCCTTTGTCATACAAACTTGCCTTTGGAGAAACTACGGAGAACTCTACAGCAACAATACTGATTTCTGTGTTTCAGGATGGCAGAAACACAGTGGAGTAATAAATAGTATGGAATGCAGTCAAAAATGCTTAGCTCTTCTACAGAAGGTACTAGAAAAAAAGATTAAATAATTTTATAAGAGATAAGAAACGCAAGGCATTACTTATAAAGAGATATTAATTTGATAACCGGTAACTTACTTGGGCTGTGTAGAATTGTTTACATTGTTAAACTCTGTATTTTAGTTATTTCCTCAACTTGTCAATTATTTATACTCCCTTCACATCAAACAATATACACTTTCTCTTTCTTTACCAAGTTTGTTACTGAATTAAAAATTCATAGGAACTCTAGCTATGCTTTTTCTTTTGGTTAAAAACAACAAAATAACATTCTTTTTCAGAAGGTCATATCTTCCAAGCCAAAAAGCCCAATGTGTCCTCAAAGTGCACATATCAAGAATTGCATTCATCCAACTTCCTGATATCCCTGCACAAATACGAGCATGATAAGATTACAGCCAAGTGAAGATTATGAGTGACTTATTACTGTTTCTTAATTTGACTGGTACTTTTATATTCAGCACATTGTTTACTTAAAATAAATGTACTCCCATTAAAATACTATTCTAGTTATAGTATTAAAAATATTTTAACTTATCTTACTTTTTTCTTTGCAAGTGGACGAATGAGTCACCCTACCTGGATTTTCTTTCACTTGCCACTTCACTCTGCCATATGCAAAGAAAAGAAAAAGCAAGCTAAGTTTTCATTTAAAGAAAAGAATTCTTGTGCAAAGGGAGTGCACTCATCTGAGCAAACATATGTTTATAATATTTAATATTTTAGTTATATTTGACATGGCCTTGACAATTACTCACTTCAGAACGATGAAAGAAAGATATCTGTCTACCTGTTATGAACCTCAGCCCCCAAATTAAGGATAAGTGCAAAAGTAACCTCTAAGAAATTAAAAGTTATTATCAAAAGTTGATTCAAGATATAAAACCAACTGAATGCCAGTTAATTAGAAAAACTGAAAGCAAAATCAAATCAAACGTGCATACAAGGTACTCAAAAATAAAACCCTAAACAGAAACACAAAAGAAAACAAAAAGTGACTTTGAAAGAAAAACGTTGTGTGAAGTACCTCTCCAGGAACACATCAAAGGAGGATATGCCATTCAAATGGCATATTTTCTCTGTTACTTAATTTACTGAAAGGAGTTCAGACAACATACCACTATTCACACATAGACCTTTTTTTGCAATGTGTTGCTATGATGGCAGACAGATACAGGATACAGGGGTTTAGGAACTCTCCCCTTTCCCCCAACCCACCCGCACGAAGCATATGTAACGTCAGCCCCTACTGCCTCACAAAATATCCCAAATCCAAACCAGGATCAGTCAGATGGCTTGGTTCAGAACTACATCCATCCTGATGCCTGTTATGTCACAGCTGTTTCTCTCCCAAGCTACAAAGCCATCGGCTGTGAATCATAGGAAGGAAATACAGATTCCACAGGTCCTACAGAAACCTGTGCCAGTGATTGAGCAGGCAGAATACTTATTGAAGTTGGAGAAAAAACAATACCATCGAGGAATGTCAATTAATGCAATACTGTAAGTGCTGTTTTTCACAGAAAACTGAGAACCTGACCATTAAAGGTCATTAAATATTATGCAGTAGGGTGTTGTGTGGGGTTTTTGGGCATTTTTTGTTTTGTTTGGTGGTTTTTTTGTTTTGTTTTGTTTTTTTTAAACAGGGATGTTGAACTGTGTCGTGACTAGAATTCCACTTCAGGTAACTTGCTTACCCAAATTTTCTCTGTAAAAATTAGACATTCATTCCTATAAAATTGTGTCAAGAATATTTTCCCAGGTATCAAAACTTTTAGTTCAGAGAGATATTAAATATTTCATATTTTTATATAATAATATATCTGTGGCCCAGATACTGAATGCAGAGAAATTAGACATTCATTCCTATAAAATTGTGTCAAAAATATTTTCCCAGGTATCAAAACTTTTAGTTGAGAGAGATATTAAATATTTCATATTTTTATATCATGGCCCAGATACTGAATGCAGAAGGAAAATAGGGGACCCCAAAGCTTTCAAGCATGAAATCCTTCTCTAGCACTGCAAAATAAAATCATAAACTAATACTTTAAAAGATGCATTTTATAAATATATTGACATACAGGTGTCACGTTTTTGCAAAACTTGAGCAATGCTTTTGTTCCATCCCCCACACTTCCCTTCAGATTTTTCTAAGCTAAAGGAAAAGTAACTTACTTGCAAATGTCATCTTCTGGGTCCTCAAGCCCAAATCTTTCATCAAAAGTAAGCTGTATCCATACATTTTCATCTACTGCTACTAATCTCCACACTAGTACAGTATTGCGTGGGTATGTGTGTGGAAACTTGGGGCTGTGAATACTTCCATTAGTAGTCACAGTAATTATCTTCTCATGCTGAGGATCCTGCACACCTGTAGTAAAGAGAGACAACAGATGCATCAATTCTCATTTCTTCTCCTTTTCCTAAAGTGTTTGTATAGTACGCACAGATAAAGACACTTTTCTTTTGTTTGCCTCATCTTGCAAGGAATTTCTGCTTGGAAAATCTATATAGTAACAAGAACCCAAAAGTGGTATGTATTACTTTGCTGGCAAAAAGTTATTCAAACCCAAGCCTTGACTGCTATTCAGAAAGCAGAACGGAAGTTCAAGCAGAGATAAGAGAAATGTGACTGCAAACACTTGAATGACAGACTGGACTCCTCACAGAAGCCCAGCAGCCCAAGGGACTCCACCATGCAGCCTGCTGATGGCTTCAGCTCTTCATTACTGGAGAGCACACGGAGATCACAGGAGGTGTACAGGGAGAGTCTGCTCACACCTACCACAGAAGGGATGGTTTAAATTTGTTTCTTGTTAAAGGAGACTGTCCTACATTTATGAAGTCCAGCGATAAGGATTTTGATGGCTGCCTCCTTCCTGAGAGCTACGTCCGAACAAAGTTATCCCGATGCAGGAATGAAACCGGGACATGCTTGGGAAACTTGGGAAAGTCACCAGGTGTAATAAATTAGGCATTTACTGACAAGCTTCAGTTGAGGGCATTTCTCAAAATTCTTCACACCATTGTTAGACTAAACACGTGTAAAATTAATGTTTTACAGTGCAGCAGCAATTGAATTTAAGATAAATCAGCTAACTGCATTTGATTTTTAAAGCACACAGTAACACTGAAACTACTGAAAAGACCTCTTCAGGTTATGAATTCATAACTGTGAGGAGTTACCAAAAGGAAAGGACTCCTTCGGTGAGCAGCAGCTGTGCCTTTCAGAGCCCCAACAACTCTTCACAGTAACTCAAGAAACCTCATTCTCAAGTGCCCAGCATTCACAGGAATTCACATTCAGCAGCTGGAATCAGCCCATATGGGGTCTTCAGCTGCAAAAAAACCAGGCACTGACCTAATCTGGATACATTTTAACACTGTGACATACAATGATGAGATCTCTAAACTACAAAGTTTAGTTCCATCAAATGAAAAAAACCTCCTTATGCTACAGCACATGACTTTTACTATCTTTGGCTTTTTCTAAAAACCTGTATACAGTCAGGCTTGATGTTTCAGCCAGTAAATCATAGGAATTCTCAAAGTTACCTATTAATAACTTTAGTAAAAAAATAAGCTTGTGGTTTTGTACCATAGAGTTATTAATACTTTTTCTTTGTTTTCCACTCTTCATTGTATTTTGTTAGATGCTTTATCTTATTTTTCTGATTGTTTTACAACCAGCATTACGACAAGCATTCATTTGAAGCTATGTAAGATGTGCTTCGGTCTACACGGAAAACATACACTGCAATTGTACCTTATTATAGCTACATGTAAAGGCTGAGAGCTAAATCAACATACTGCAAGAAAAGAAGGCCATAGAAACAGCATTGCTATTTTCAAAGAATTAATCTATACTTAAATGTAATTTAAAGTCTGATGGACTTTTGCCTTCTATTCTGATGGACTGGTTTCTTCTACTTGTGGTATGAAAATGGTAAATTTTCTTTTAAGTGGAATTGATGCTTACATAAAATTGATGGAGTGTGGTCTTGCCTTGCAGAGGACTGACTGCCCTGTGTATGAATAAGACAGGACAGCGTGCAGTGGTAAGTAAAAAAAGCACAAAAAAAAAAAAAAAGGCACAAGAAACAGATTCCTAATTTAGACACTTCACTGGGCTTTTGTTAGCTGAGTCATAAGCATTTTTCTATAATGTATAGTATGTCAGCTGAGAGCTGCATGCTAAACACAGGAGCCAACAATAATAAAAATTACTTTCCCAGAGATTAGTACACCAGAGTGCTCTTTCCCAAGCATGCAAAGGGCCACCGTTTCAGTGGTGGCCTCAATGCGCAGTGTCTGACGATGCTATAGTCAGTGGTTCTATTTGTCTTTAAAAGCACACCCAGGATTACAAACCAGGTTATATTTCACAACACATTAAGAAAGCGTTTTCTTTTGTATCATCAGGACAATGATAACAACAGCAAGTAAGGACTGTATATAGTCCGGGCATATCAAATGAGAAGTCAATAAAAAAGGACAAAGGAAAGAAAAGACATATGGTAATTTAGCGAACAGAAGTTGCAGCACCTCTGATGTCTTCAGCTCCTCCGTTTGTAAAGGAAAAATATCTATTTACTTTAGCACACAACAGTGTTCCATGAGCATATCAAATTCCTGCACACAACACTTGGTCCATTTCAAATATTTGCTCTCGCACAGTGGAATTTCTTCTCCTACAGAAGAATTATTTTGTATGACTACAAAGGCAAGTAATTGCTGTCACTGGAGAATGAAGCTTGTTATTTGTCTTCAGATAAGCCACAATACTTCTTTTTACCCATTCTACATAAATCGTACCTTTGTACCACAAAAAGCTAGCTTTTTCCTACTGAGTTCATGCATGTTCTGAACATTTCTTTTGAGGAAATTGCGGGAAGAGCACAGTTACCTGAACACGGCAAAGATGAGACTATAGTCTCTATTCTTTGTGGAATGACTTTGCAATTCCTGGCTTTATTTTAGGGATAAATCAGTCCAAGTTACACTTAAAAGGGAGTAACAAGTTCAGTCAGATTTACAGTGGTCAGCTGTATAACTCCAAAGCTATATACACTGCTGCTGTGATCTGTTTGCTTTTCTATTAACAACCATCCTCCTCATGCTCCCCCTCCAAAAAAAGAAAAAGAAAAAAAAAAAGATTATTGCTGTACAGACAGCACCGAACAACCCTGAAAAATCAGTTTAGGCAAGGACTGAGGTAGACAAGGCACAACCTCAGCTAGGGGGCAACAGTACCACCCAAGGGAAATGGGGACAGACAAGGACCAAACCAATGTTATTGCATCTTCAGTAAAAAGCTTCGTCAGAAGATGGGCAACGGAGATCACCTGCAGGAGAAAGTCCTGCAAACGGGGCACACTAGATGGGAAAAATCCCTATGCTGAGCCGGCGATATGGCATGGTTATGCTTCTTAGGAAAGGACAGCACACACTTAACAGAGCCTGAAGTTGAAGAATGAGTCGCAGCAGTTGTCTTTGATGTGGTACAAGATGCTATCACCAGATTTATATATCTATCAATGTAGAAAGTCTGCCTCTGAAAATTACAAGATTCCAGGCATTCTGAAAGCACGGCAGTGCCTAACCCTTCCACCGACGTGGTAACGCAGATGAAAAACCACCGTATCACCAAACAGATCAGCAGATGCCACTGTAAACTGAAATTAAACCCACCGACTAGACAAGCTCATTCCTGCCTACTTCAAAGTAGGTCTCTTCCCCCATAGGCACAACACATTTCACAAAGATCAGCACTGACACTTTTTAAATATAGCAAATACCTCTTTCTTACTACATCGTAATCACCACATTTCAGCAAGGGTCATGGGTAAAACTCAGACAAATCACATACATTTCAGGAGACAGATGAGGAGTTGCAGAAGAAGAGAAGGGCACCATGGGTGGAGTAACAGCCTCGGCACAGATTCACTTAGAGGCTGATTCACTTAAGAGATCAGACAGTACTGGTAAAATTTATTTTTAAAACTTTTGCTAAAGCTACACTAATGTCACAACAGGACAAGATGAGAGTACTGATAGTCATGCACTGTTAATGTATTATTTGGTGTATTTCATTCAATAGCCCTTAATTATGAAAATCAACTTTTAGGCCTTCAGAAACAGCATTAGCTCACTTGTGGCTATCACTGCTTAAAAAAAAAAAAAAAAAGCCAGATTTCAAACATGAGAAAAGTTTCAACTCTAAATATTTACCAATTAATATATAGAGCTTTTTCAGATATACAGTAATGTTGCAGTATGTGCAAGTCCTCTGCTTTAAAACTCAGAAACAAAATATGACAATAACTACTTATTTGTTACCACAGAACTCCAGAGGGAAGCATGTTTTTTTAATTAATTAAAAGGATTTCCTGACAACATTCCCATATAATTTTTACAACAATCCACACCTGTACAGAAACTGTGATTTTGTGGAAGAAATTCTTTGAAATGTAACATAGCATGCCATTTCTTCCTCTTTCACCAGACTTTCCGAAAGCATAGTAACTCAAGGCATACAGGGGTACCTCCTCCTGTCCTCTGTCTCTGGTTCAGTTGCCTCCAGGCACTTCTTAGCGATTAGCTGAATGTAACAGTCAAAATGAAATTTAACTCTTTGGCTGGGTACAAAGGAAAAGCTGGAAAATGGTCTGTTACTGGCAGAAAATTGGACAAATATCTCTGTTTGTTATTGTTCGTATGTAAAGTGGATATCAGGGCCACTCAAAATCATATAAATACTGCTAGAAAGGACCCCTGGAGACCTCCAGTCCCGGCTCCTGCTTGGGTTACTATTCCTGCTCACACCACAGCAAGTCATCCATTTGAGGGTTGGCAGTTTCTAGCTGTTCTTCCAAACCCTTATGCCTCGAGTACCACAAGAAATGCTTTTGAAGCACACAGGGTTTGTTTTCATCATCACCTTTTCAAGTAGTGAGCAAAGAAAATTTCATACGGCCTTGCTGTATATATCTCTTAAAATAGCCGCCTTAAGTGGTATGGTTTGTGGCTTTTCTGGGTTAAATCTCTGAGACACATCTAGCCTTCTCTGGGTTTTCCATTTTGAGTAGCTTCCACGCTTTGATACTGCTACCTGTTTGAAATCTTGACATGATTCTTCAGGTATTAGTAAGAAATAAATATAGAGAGGAGTGCACATACCTGTAATACACCCACACATGCATATAATATACACACGTGACCTATCAACTATTACAACATGATAAATTCAACTTCTAACTAGAAAACTGCTAATTTACACAAGTACTTATTACCTAAACTAGCAACCATAACAAATACAAACATATGAAGTACTGTGTGGATGTAAAGCAATGAACTAGAAACATGTAGGAG